AGTAGCTGCTGCGAGGAAAACTATGGAGGATTTGAGGAAAAGCCGGAAGGTGGTAGTTTTAGAAATCCAACTGACGATGAACGTCAAAGAGACGAGGTGGCCGAGTGGTTAAGGCGTTGGACTGCTAATCCAATGTGCTCTGCACGCGTGGGTTCGAATCCCATCCTCGTCGAATTTATTTTTTTCACTCTTTCTCGTTACATGCAATCCTCCAGAATTTCGCTGCAACAATCAACGAATGCAAAGGCTGCTGCTGCAAGCGACAGGGCAGGACTCGGAGAGAGTCGACAAAGAATTCGTCGCTGGGAACGCTGGCTTTCCGCTCTCATTCCTGCTCTTTCCTTTTTCCGGTTCTCGTCTCGCGTTTGGAATTTCGCGATGACTGATACAATCGAGACACAGAGAAGCCAGCAGTATGCTGCGTGTGACGTTAATCAGGCATGTTAACAGTTGAATGGGAAAGAGTGCATCCGGGGCAGGAGGCTTTGGGAAAGAGCGCTATTGCACTCTGGAGAATTCGTTCTCGTTCATTTTATCTTTTATTTGAGAACCAGAGCAAAGCGCACGCTATTGCACGCGATAAAGGGTAACTGTGCGGCAGCGCTCTTATTTAATTACACGGACTGAGTGCATTAGACCTTTTTACGAATTAATAAGTCCAGGTTTGCGTGTAAAAAGAGCGAATTCAGAAAAACAGAACGGAAGAGGGAAGTATTTACCTCTCGTTTCAGCACTGCCTGCCAAGTGCTGAACAATGCTTCAGTTAATACTCGTAGGCATTCCCCGCCATAGTTCCTGCCGCTGCCGCGTCTCTCCTTGTCTAACCTGCAGGCGAATGAATCCTCTGTCAATCGTCCGCGTTCCAATTCTTCGTTTTCGTAATTCGTCATCGTCAACGCGCTGCAATTTCCCCAACTCACAAGTTGACTCGATCGCTTAAAAAATGTACTACCACCATTAGCCTCCATTAATGATATTGATTGAATGGCGCTGGGCGCGGAATATATACCCGCGTCCGTGACACCGACCGGCTATTAATATCGCGGAAAACGCGAAAAGGATCGTTCGAAAAATACCGATAATTCGTAACACTGGACTCTTAAAAAAAGGAAGGGAGGTTCGTGCTTTATTATTAAACTCGCTGCACCTCGTTATTTCCTCCGTCTCCCGAATGTTGCCGTTCTTTCTTTTCCCACCGTAGCCTTTGTCATCGCCGGCGCCACTGTTCCCTGCCTCGAGTAGAAGCCTTGAAGGGGGGATGGCTTAGCGAAGGTGCTCAGGGGGAGCCTGCTTACTCGCCGGTTACGAGCGACTCTTTTCCTCGCGAGGATGGACTTAAGGGAGTATTTTCTCTCTCGCAGCTACTTACCACTTCTTGTAGTTGGTCTATATGCAACGAGTCACGTTCATCCTGAATGCCGCAGGTTGATTCCAGGTTGCGAGACGACCATCACTTCCGTTATCGGGATGCAATGGGTCGAAGACCCAAGAATTACGGTTGATCCGGATGGTGCATCTGGCTCCGTTTTTCTTCCGGGCAATGGCGGCGACTCACTCGTATGTGCGTGCATGTGTATTCATGAGTCTCGCAAAGTACACGTACGTAGAAAGGTGTGCACAACGGGATGCACAAAGACGAGGGATGACCAGCTCGAGTGCATCGTTGATCCATATTCGTAGAGGGAGTGAACTGCCCTGTCACGAGACTTCCTTTCCCCTCGCTTCCTCATCAGGTACATTGACAGCCGCGGCCGCATTGTGCAAACTACCTGCATCCCTGCTTATTTCAAGTATAAAGGTTTTTGCGGTGCGACAGTAGGGAAGCGCAGCGCCGCTGGCGTAATGTTTTCGAAAGCATTAACTGGCACGTGCCGGGAAGAAATTGTCAATCGATCGACCATTGAAAATTTCTGAAAAGGAACCGAGAGGGACTTCGTCAAAAGGAATAGGACGATTGACATTTTGAGGAAAGAGAACATCCGTCTAACATGGTTCCTTATCGTTAGCCCCGTGACCCAATCGGAAGTCCTTATAATGTCTTCATTGTGTCCCACGCTGAACGTTCTGCGAGACAAACGTTTCAAGAGGCGCCTAGAGGCGCCTAGATGCCTCTAGGGGCGTCTAGGGGCGTCGCTGCCAGCACTGAAAGGTGAGCCAGTCGAACGCCGTCGCAACGTGGCAGCACGTTGCTGCATTTTATGTCTCCGTATAATATTATATATCGAGGACATAATACAGCCACTTGGAAAGCACTTGAGCAGCCAATGGGCTAATTAATTCAACGGTCTCCTCCCACTTCCCCCTTATCCTTCCCGATCGAGAGGAACTCGGCGCTCCTGATGCTGCAACAGGGTGTAGGGTGTCTTTGCTGAACGTTGAAAGGAGTGCGCGCCGGGCGCTGCCCTCTCGTCACATCGACGCGGCCACCGCGTCGCTGCAATTCAATTTCCACTAGTTTTCCCGCCGAGAGTCACACGAGCCTTGACAATCCTGCGTCGATTGAGGACTACATAGATCAATCAGCCTCTCCATCAATCTGCTGTCGAATCAAGAGAGAATAGAGGGCGGGGGGGGGGACGTAGAGAAGCGTAATGCCTGACTCATCTCCCGTGAAGAGCAGAGCGTTTCGACAACTGTCAGGTGCACGAGTAACGGGAGAATATTCAGGTATTAGTCAGGATTTTTGCACCGAAAGTTGTGTGACAGGGGCGGATCAGTGGCGTGCATTGGGAGTCCAATACAATTTTACGCTGAACTCCATGTAATAATTTTTACTCGGATGCCCCGCGCTTCGGGACAACGTAGCGTGGAACATTCTGCAGGCATAAAACACAGGGGTGGCTGGGTGAATACAGTGACGCAGGCTAACGTTAGCCCAGCATCAGGGTCGCACGAGCCTTTGGTACTTTAGTTAACAGGAGGCAGAGACCGTCCATCACGGGAGGTCGTGTCCCATAAAGAGTATAATTCTCCCTCGTGACGTCACCATATACTCTCCTATGAATATCTCTCGCGCATCCCTCGCCATTTTTCAAGCCCGCGACTTTAACAAAAATTATCAACGAGACGCCCTGACCCGTGTCGCCTGATATAGGCCTAAAGGCTACCAAATAAATATTCAGAAACTCGAGTAATTCGCTTCAAAAGGACGAGTCGAATTACCCAATTTCATTTCCTTTCTCTTCCCTCTGCGTGTTACTCTTCTGCGTCTGGCGACATTGGACGGTTGCAGGTCGATTTCACGAATCGAGTGCTCGTCGCGCTGGGCACTCGAGCCCAAAGGACTTCCTCGGCTTCCGATGCGTCTCGTGTAATTGCGGCACCCATGGCGAAGGTCAAAGACGACAGCTTTAATCTGGACCAGCAACGGTCTTCTTCTGTGCTCGTGATTACGGGCTCTTATCCAGGTGCTTCCTGTCTGCTTATTTTTCTCTTTTCATCCCGTCACGCCCCTCGCCCTCCTCCCTCTGCCCCATATCTTCCACTTATTTCCCGTTCTGATCGTCGCAACTGTGCAGGGTGGAATCTACGATTGCAGCAGCTGCGCAATGAGAGCGCGACTCGTGGCAAATGGATGGTCGACTCCTAACGGAAGGAAAACGTAGAATTGCCTAAGCATGAAAAAGAGCAACCATCGGTAGAAATGAAATCGTTTAACACTGATGGGAATTATGGAAAATGTGAGATCCAGCGAAATACTTTTAGAACAAGAAAACCTTCGATCGCTCTTTGAGTTTGATGCGAAGAAAGGAAACTGCAGTTGTAAAGACCTTCCGTTTGCATCACAAATCCCTCCTCCACTTGATCAACTTGTATCTACAAAAAAAGGTCTTCCCGTTTGGCAAACACCTGATGGTTAAGGTTTTCTGCAACAAGACAGACTTATTGGTTGAAAATGTCATCGGGTCTAGTGGATTGCGAAATATGTATTTGTGCAGCTCAAAGCGGCGGCGTGAGGAAACTGTAGCCTAAGATTGGATCGTAGTCATGCAGCCAGAGAGCCCTTTCAGTTCACTCGTGAAAGTAGCTGGCTCAAAACTCACAGCCCTGCCTTACTCCCTGCCCCCCGCAGGCCGGAAACAGCAACCTCTCTTTCCAGAGGCCGGAACCTGAATACTGCCTAGAACCCCTTTCTCATTAGGACGAAGGGGCAGCAAAGAATACGGAAAATTGGATGCCCTGAAAATATTCTCGTCACGTTCCGACTACGACGCCGACTCCGGAATGTCGGAACGACCGAAGGAATAAACGCTGCTCCGACACTCGCCCTTCCCTCCCTCTCGTTCCGAAACACGGATAAGGAGCGAATGCCATTTATTCCTGCAGGTCTCATCCATCGGGTGTCTTTGGGTTTCTTCGAGTTTCCAAAACAAACGACCCTTTGCAGGCTCGCAGTTTGCTGGTTTGACTGTCGTGACGTTGGGCCAACTCGTTGCCGAGAAGCCTCACGTTACAACCGGTTTCCCAATTTCGCAGCCACAAAACAGGCCGACTGCGCGTCGGCTTTCGCTTCAAACACGACCAACGCTCGGGCTGGCACTTTGTTCATTCGGAACAATGACGGCAGCGACATTGCGAGCTGCGTCTCTGGGAAAGGAACGAGTGGAAATACTCACTGGATATGGACGCGAGTGCGCTCGGTGGCTCCACGTTCGAGGAAGGATATTATTTTTTAAAAAAGGGAATTCAACATCGATTGTCCCACTCAGTTTGTTCCCATGATCATCGCCAAAGCAGTCGCAATAATGTTTCCTCGGGCTCCTCCCTTCCCTCCCTCCGTTTCTTCCTTTTTCTCCTTTTTCTCCTTTGCCTCCTTCATCGCCTTTCTCCTCCCTCTCTCAACTCGTCAGGTCTCAGCGAAAACACATTGGATCATATTTCCAGCAACCGCGTAGCATTCTTCATCCACGTCTCATCCTCGAGCAGAGTTCGAAAAGTGATGCACACGCGCCTCACCCGAGTACGCACAATCTGACGTGAACGTTTTCTTATGATTGCAGCCTACGAACGGAGCAACCACGTGGTCTGGAACCGGGTGGTGTTCGTCATCAGCTGAGCCGGGCCTTGGATCTTTGGGCAAAAAACTCGAAGCTCACCTTTCAGGAGGTTAACAGCGACCGCGCAGACATTTTGGTCTACTTTCAACAGTGAGTATTCCGACTTCTCTTTACTCCGTGTTGTTTTCTCTCTTCACCTGCACGGTGAACACGCCCCGAGAAGGACACTCGACTTTGAAAGGAGAACGGAAGCCGCCGCACCCTTCCAGTCGCCGAACATTTGGAACAGGGAAGTGCTTGAGCTTGGCAACGCCACTGGGGCCAGGAGCTTCCAGGAGCTTCTGCGGTCCGCGCTAGCTGATTGCGAATGCGATGGTTACGTTACGTACCGCAGCGCCCAAGGTACGAGTGTGCTAGAACTTTGGCAGCGTACGTGCCCGACATCTTGAATTACTACCTGCCCCCGCGCCTCAGGCTGAGCTGCTCCTCGTAGCTGCCTGCGGCCGCCGACCCCATCGTCACTGTCTGCTCCGACAATATCCTGGCACTGGATTAGCAGGAAGAGAGCTCATTTCGCATTGGCGAACATGGCTATTGGATCCGTAGGGCAAAACATATTGAAGTTTCGACTGGGTAGTCGGAACGGAAGTGAAAAAGACGAATGGCAGCGGAGGAAGAGCTAAGAGAACGACAAGAATCAAGAGAGGCTTCGCGCGTCGAGGGTGTATTCCGAGATCGAAAAGTTCGTGTTGACTGAAACTTCGTTGAACTGAATCTTCGTTAGTTTGGTCTATAGCTGCGTGAAGTCTCGAGCAGACTCCAAGTAGCAGTGGAGAGAACTTCGACATCCACTTTTGGGCTTAGAATTACATTTTGCTTCGGATTTAGCTTTGAGCTTGCGGTTGGAATTTGAATTTGGTCTCGTAAGAGGAAGCTTCCGATTAATCTTGAAATAGTAGATTGCTGCTTCTTTTGGCTAGGATTCATTCAGAGAATTGGACGACCGTATCAGCAGCCCTTACAACCTTGGCAACCCTCGAGTCCCTCACAGGCTTCGTTCCCACATAAATTGTACCTTTATCAATGCGAGCGAGCCATTAGTCTGCGAAATCCGGGCTCTTCATTTTCCCCTGATTTATTTTCGGAGGTTAATTAAGGAATAATTAGCCTCGGCTCGGTCATTAACGGGTTGAAATCGAGCGAACTCGCGTGCTTCAGCGTCGCAGCTCGTAACGTGGAATCCAACGTTCAAGTGATCCACCTTATTTTTTTATTTCTCTTCCGGTCGAGTGATCTTGCAGGTATTATATTACGTGCGACAACGTGTCCTTTGACACAGGAAACTCGCTAAAGCACTTTGCAAGTGACGGCCGCATAAATTGGTGGCATCGTCGACGGCAGCATCGGTAGGAAGCCAACCGGAAGGGACGGTAGGAGCCGCCAAGCATTCGGGGTCAACTTTAAAAGACGATAACTTGGAATTAACTGAATTCCTGAATCGGGTGCTTGAATCTCGCAGCCACTTAAAAGTTCATCATTTTCTCTGTCGTGGAATAGGAGATTCGCGGGAGGGGAGGGGGGGGCAGAGTCACTTTCTTCGAGAAAGTACTCCTGTGAAGAGTGTAAGTGGAGGAAGAGTAACGCATCACTGCAAATGAGAGACGGATGATCAGAGATGCTCAAGGACACGAGGACGAACACCCCACCAGAATAAGATCAGCCTCCTGTGTTCTTCGCGTGCCCGATTAGCCTTCTGGATCCTCTGATTCCGACTGCGAGTTGCGGTGGTCACTCAGTGGCGGTGAACCAGCGCTCGCTTCGTGTTCTTCGTATACTTCTGCTCTTTCTCTTTTCCTGGGGATTCTTGTCACAGGAGCATAGAGAGAGGCTCGGGAACTAGAGAAGCGTCGAAGAACAGGACCTCGAGAGATGCGAGAAAGACAGTCTCAGTCAGACAAGGACACTCGGCTCACTTCCGCAGCAAGAAGGATGCATCTTGCGAACTGACCCACTTCGAACAGTCTTTCCTTAAAAGATTTATAAGACTCACATCCCTTTGAGAGTCTAGCTACTGTGGTGTTATAGCGCTACGGTGCATTACAGTAAACGGTTGCATAACGAAGAAATACCTGAACAGCAAACCAGCCACTTGCTACTTGCTACTTGCTACTTGCTACTTGCTACTTGCTACTTGCTACTTGGCACTTGAGTAGTAGAAGCAGAGTGAAGGATTGAGATTTGATTTTAAGTGAAGTCACCATGACGCAGCACATGCCTAATGGAGCTTCAAGTCGTGAATTTCGCTGAAGCAGCTGCAAATCTCTCAAGCATTGGCTCATTATTATATAAATTAGAAGAAAGTGACCGGGACTAAATTTCACTTGCAAAGTCAACCAGCCGCAGCCTCCCAATGATAAGATCTTGAGTTTTGTCAAGCCGAGTATTCAAAAGTTCGGTCCTGTGGACCGAACGTACGTCGGTCGCTCGGTGTGGGTCTTTGCGGTTCGCTGTAATACCAGGAGGAGGAGCAGCGCTTTGCCTTGCTAATCTAAATTAAGCAGCTATATAAACAGGCCATATCCCAATCCATCCGAACTTTCAAGTGAAACGGCCACCCTATATTCCGTGCTGCTTTCAGTTCCACTCTTTGACCCTTGGCCCTACGAAGCTGACCTTTAATTCAGCAGCTAACGTAGCTGATGACCTGCGCGAGGTATCGGATGCCCACTTACCTCCTTTTTACTTGCCTTGTCAAAATATCTCGAATAGGTCTTTTAAATAGGTCTCTATTTCATTTCTCTTCTCCCGATTAGTATGAGGTTAAGATGAAGTAGATTTTGCATGAGACTTTTTCTGTACTGTCGAGATTTCCACATTCCTCGAAAATCTCCAGCAGAAAAAAGAAAACAGAAATGAAGATTACAGATTGGCGTTTCGGCTACTTCGACTCGACTGGCTCGTTAAGAAAATGGCAGCCAATGATGTCGGGTACTAATTGGCACCTGGATTCATCTGAGAATTCTTGAACTTAACCCCGAGGACTAGCGAAAGTTCGTCGGTGTCTCTGGCCGTGAAAACTATGTGAGAGAAAATCAACGCGACACGAAAAACTTTTTTGAAGTAATTCAATATTCAGTAAGCGGCATCCCGCCTGCCGAAGAGGGTGAAATAATAATCTTTAGGGTGAAAATGGAGAACCCAAGGACTGCGCAGGAAGAGAGGAGCATTGACCTAGTCTGCCTGCTTTTAAAGTTCACAGGACCAGTATGTTAGACTCCTCCTCTCCAGGTTCTATCTATTCATATTTTTCTCACACGTAGCAAAAGAGTAACGCACGTTCCAATTCTCCTCGCCTTTACGCAATTTTTTCAAAACTTCTGAACAGCAGAGTCGAGCGTGTTACAAAGTTGGTACCAGACAAGCGAAGAAGGGTCGATCCGGCGTGAGTTGAGTTCTTTATCGTCGTACCCGGGCGCGTGGTATTTGCCCTTAACAAGAGGTAAGACTTTATTGCGCTACCAGATCGAAACTTTGATCCCTTGGAAGCAGCAGGGCGTCAGCCAAAATCTTTTCTTCCGGCCGTAACAGCAGGACGGCGTTAACCGAAAGCGCCGTAAGAAGCAAATGACGTAACCCCTGAGAGAGTCCAATAACCTGAGCGGATGTTCTTTTTGTCGTGTTGCAGGGGCTATCACGGAGACGGATATCCGTTCGACGGGAGAGGCCAGATATTGGCGCACGCCTTCTTTCCTGGAACCGATCGCGGCGGCGACGCGCACTTCGACGAGGAGGAGATCTGGCTTCTAACGGACAGCAGCGACGAGGAAGGTAAGTTCCACCAGGCCACGTCCGTACCTTCTCTGCATCCGGGTCGATTCTCGTAACAGTATGTACGTGCGTATTTCCATCTATGCTCGCGATTTTTCCTCTTTCGTCGATCTCATGAGGACCGAGTCTGCGAAAGAAAAATCGTCTCGAGGATTCCGAAAGCAGCACCGTCTCTTCTCGGTTTTTCCCGTCGAAGGCGAATTCAATGGAGAAGTGGGAGAACACGTAAACTCCTAAAGTCCGGCAGAGCCTCTTGCTCAACTTCCGAGTAGCCGAGCGTCCGACGTCTGGGACCCGTACGAGCAGCACGAGGCTGGAAAGCAGGAAAAGAGTGAAGATGATATAGAGAACATGGAAGCCAGGGAGAAAAACGTCACTCGGACCACCATCTTTCTAACTTTTTCCATCTCCGACTATTCTACAAGAGAAGCAGCAAATTCAACGGATCCTCGTGACCAGCTGCCCCCCCCCCCCTTTCCCTCTCAAGTTTCATCGTTCTCTCGTGAGCTTTCTTTCTTTCTCTCTTTCAATCAATCGAACTCTCTTGCTTTTTCGGTGAATTCTTTCGTCGACTTCAGTCATTACGGTTTCACGTAAATTCATTGATTTATGGTAACGGAGCAGAATGAAAGGACCGATCGACGTGTGAGCTGTCACAATGGACTGCAGCTTTCAATTTTGACTTGCCAAATATTAAAATAGATCAACGAGTGAATAATAAAGAATAGAAGAGAAAGTTTAAAAGAATGCAAATCAATTTACATCGAAACTGAGAAAGGTAATTCCAGGAATTAGGAGCAGACTTGCGGTGGTCGCATGCCACAGCCATCATCCGGCATTTCCCTTCGTCAGGAAGGTAATCAGGAGACTATCGATCCCAGCTGTATCCTTCAAAATGGAGAAGGTCGCTAAGCTGCGAACTCGCTGCCTTCGCCTAAGAACACGATAGGACAACGAAATCCCTTGGCCCTCGGATTGTCTTTGCTCTTATCGTTCGGCACTTGTCGCAATTGTTTTGAGCATGATACGTATCCCTACTTCAATTCGACGTCACCCTGGAATTCGGAAGATAGCGCCAGTTTGAGATTCGAATTATCGTTGGACCATTGTTCGACGAGTTTATTTTGAAAGAACCGAATATCGCAATCCCAGTATTTCAAAGACGTCCAACGAGGTGCAGAGTCAAGGATTCCAATGAGTAAGGCCGACTTCGTGCTGCTTCTCAACGAACTGCAGGAATTATGAGGGTTCGCGAGAGCGACGAAAATCGGATTCCATTGTCGAAATTAATTCATAAGGTGCGCAATGATTGATTGTGCAGATTTGGCGAAGCAATCCTGACGGTTTTGCTTTTGCCACGCACAGCCTGAGGAGAAAGTACACTGTTCAGTCCTCTAATTGGCAGAATTTCCACTTGGCTTCGCACCGAATTTCAAGGATTCCCAGTACCCCGATAATAGTTGGCTCCGTAACTGATTTCATACTTGAAACTTCCGTCAGTCATTCTCCAGTCGAGTTTCAGTCAGCTGACGTGGCAGAAGACATTAAAGACAGGGAGTTTCGCTACTTGCAAACACATACGGACATTAGGGCCGCCTGCATTTTAGTGGCCCGCATGCGGCTGATCGTGAGATCGATCGCCGAGCGCTGCTGTTTCAGGCTTCGGGCTTTAGGCTTTCCCTCCGTTCTTCGTTTCTTTCACGAAACTCAAGCTGACTCGGCTTGAGAACCAAAAGGAACGAGAAACGATCGCACGTAACTCGCTTGGGTGGCGACCGGGTTACAGCTTTCTCTCATTTTCCTTCCGACTGAGCCTCGGCCAAATCGCATGCAATCCAATCCGGCCTTGTGTGTTATTGGGTCTACGGGGAATAGACGGCGATTCCATTTGCCCAGTGAGACGCAGAAGATGAGTATCGAAATGGAGCAGCGCGTCTCCAGCCTCCCTGACCCTTCGACCCTGGACTCGCGCTTACCGTTTACCCCAATTCCCTTAATCCCCTACACTCTGTCGAGTCGACGGGTGGGGTTGCCCTGCGGGAAGTTCTGTCTCTCGCAAACGACACTGCGGCGAAGGGCTTAGATATTCGAAGGGCTGTCGAGCCTTGTGAATTCGCCTCAGAGCCTCTCAGACTTATCGAAAACCGATTAGTCCTCGGCGGCAGTCGGTGGCAGTCGGCGGCAGTCGGCGGCTGGCCTTCGTTCCTGCCCCAACAGCTTCACCCGTGAAACACTTCGCTCTTAAGCCGATGGCAAATATATTCCTACAGTAGGGACCCTCCGCGCACCTTCACTCCTTCAGCCTCGCTCTCTACAGCGCACAATCTACAGTGGCTACAACTCGCTTCTCCAAGTTCTTATCAGCA